GAGAGAGAGAGAGAGAGAGAATGAATTTTTAATATTTATTTTTTAGTTTTCAGCGGACACAACATCTTTGTTTGTATGTGGTGATGAGGATCCAACCCGGGCCGCACACATGCCAGGCGAGCTGCTTGAGCCACATCCCCAACCCTGACAAAGACTTTTAAAAAATTATAATGTTTGTTGTTGGAGTATAAAATGGTAAAATCTTACAATCTTAACTCAGTTGTACAGTCTTGAGATATGAATATATTTCATGCCTTGGTATCTAAATGAAGAGGGTAGGTTATGAAAATGGTATGCATATAGCTTCATTTTTTTTTCCTTTGTGGTACTGGGGATTGAACTCAGGGGTACTCAATCACTGAGCCACATCCCCAGCCCTATTTTGTATTTTATTTAGAGAAAGGTCTCACTGAGTTGCCTAGCACCTTGTTTTTTGCTGAGTCTTGCTTTGAATTTGTGATTTTCTTGTCTTAGCCTTCCAAGCCACTGGGATTACAGGTGTGTGCCACCTCGCCCAGAAACTTCATTCTTATTAAAATCATAGCTAATATATAAACAAAAAAAATAAATTATCTATTTATATCATTTTAACTAAGAAAAAGAATACTATTTTAAAAATCAAAATTATTTATGCCTATTGTTTGGCAAAGATTATTAAAAAAAATTCACAGTATTAGTAAGGACAAAGTGTATGCTGCTAATGATAGTAAAAATTACTACTAATACCTTTACCATAAACTTGGCAGCATAGCAAAATCCATGAAAATAGAGGAAGCCGTGGTGCATGCCTATAATCCCAGAGGCTTAGGAGGCTGAGGCAGGAGGACTGCAAATTCAAAGTCAACCTTAACAACTTAGCAGGACCTGGTCTCAAAATTTAAAAAAATATAAAGGGTTGGGGTTGTGTCTCCGTGGTTAAGCAGCCCTAGGTTCAATCCCTAGAATTAAGAAAAAAATAAAGAGGAAGTATTTTCAGTTCAAGGAATTAACCTAATAGGGATGAATATTTAAAAAAAGAAGCACATTTAAATCCAGTGTTCATTTTTGAGTACATAAATAAATGTTATCTGTAGGAACCAATAGCATGTATTAAAACTCACATTGCAGCTGGGTGAGGTGATGCACACTGGTAATCCTAGCTACTTGAGAGTTCTGTGCTTTTCTGAATTTTTGTGCTTTTTCTGAGGCAGGAGGATCACAAGTTCAAGGCTGGCCTCAGCAACTTAGTAAGACACTGTCTCAAGATAAAAAAT